ATCTGCCACCGTGAAGGAGTAAAGTGACTCCAGTCCGTTTCGGTGAGCGTTGCCCATACACTGAGACTCAAGCATCATTCTGAAGTTCGGAGGATAGTAGTATTAACGGACGTCTTTCATTAATCGCTGTCTCCTAAGAAAACTTGGGTTCGTGGGAGCAAGTTTCTCGTCACACCCAACATCCTCATCATGAGGACGGTCTATCGTTCATCATTATCAAGGTATCATAACATAAAAAGACATCATCGTCGATAAAGGCCCAACACCATGACTGATCCAAATCACATGCCCAAACGTCGATTTCCATCCACATTCAGTTCATACCCGAGGTCGAAGGCGCATGGATGCCGTGGAAGCCCAGGCCCACGGCAAAGTCGCACTCGGCCCGGCCGAGCTCCGTCATCGTGGTGGCGTCCAGGCAGAGGAGGTAGCTCGTTTGCGTCGTGCCGTCCAACACGACGCTGAGAATGACGCCGTCGTCCTCGGCAGGCGCCTCGCCGTTGCTTGAGGGTCGAGGCACGAAGATGGGCTCGCCGGGCGTGTGTGCGTGCGGGCACTCCCACATGAGCGCCTCGCGCGTGTCGGCATCCGTCTTGACGATGGTGTCAAGGAGGGTGCTAAGGCCTCGGTCCGAGAGGCTGTAGACGTAGCGGTGGCGGCGGGTGAGGTAAATCGGATTAATCGTCGGCAACTCGCCGGCGTGCGGGGCGGGGACGGACAGAACCAGCTCGGGCTCCGTGGGTGGTGCTGCCGTCTTGGTATCGGTGTCGTTTGGTATCCTGAACCTGTACCGCCGGAGACTCGCGTATCCGTTCTGCATCCGGTCGCCTGCCGTCCAGAACTTGTTGGCGGCGTCGTTCCTGTTGAGCAGGACATCGTAGTACAGGTTCTGGAGGATGTTGAGGTTCTGGTAGTAGGCCGCTTCGCAGAACACGTCGATCCCTGATCCATCCTCTGCGGCTTCCTCAAAGGCGTTGGTGGAGTGGAAGAAGAAACCGGCCGGGGTCTCGAAGGTGGCGACAACGCCCTTGTTGTGGAGACGGTCGACAAAGTACCACCGGCACCGCTTGCTGGCGTCGAATGGCTCGATGGAGTCGAGGATGTTGCGCTCCCAAGGAACTTTGAGGCCGTTGTAGCCGAGATGCGTCACGGGGATGCAGAGCACGACGAAGCTCTTGGAGAGGAAGAAGCTGTGGATGTAGGCGGGCTTTCCCTCGGCCTCGGAGATTGATGCTAGGATCTCTGTCTTGCCGGTCGCGGCGCTGACACGGAAGATGCGGTACGTGGCCAGCCTGCCGAAGGCAAGGTTGAAGTTGAACATGTCGCCCGTCTCAGGGTCTCGCTGGGCGTGAGCGCACGACATGGGGCCCGTCAGGTCCGGGTGAAGCTTGGTTTGCCGCGCGGTGCCCACAGGCTCTAGGGTTTCTGCGTTAATCTCGAGGAGAGGGTTCGCGTCGGTGGAAAGCCAGATGCTGCGGACGCCGTTGCGGTGTCCCGGGCCGGCGGGGCCCTGATCGGTGGCTCCAGGGGTGGTGGGGGTCAGGCCGGGGACGTTTGCGTTGACGGCGACGCAGATGTTGGGCGCGGTGCCCCGGGAAAAGACACTCATGATCTTGCCAAACATGCCCACGCAGGGGTCGCGGCGCTGGCCAAAGGTGAAGCGGTTCTGGGGGCCCAAGGCCTGGATGTCCTGGACCAGCTGGTCGCACTGCCGTCTCGAGGAGTACATCACGCGAGTTGGGCCGCTGCCCTGTCGGCTGTCGTCGTCTTCTCGGGGAACGATGTCGAACTTGTGCGTGTGCGCGAGGCCGTCGAACCAGTGGGAGATGTAGTACGTCCCCTTGGGCGTGTCCTCGATCTTGCAGCTACCTGGTCCCGTGCGGTAGAGGGCGCCGGCTGCCCATGCGGGAATCTCGCCTTGGATACTGAGCTCGATAGGGCCGCGCTCTTCGGTCAACCCGTCAAACTGGGTTCGGTCAGACAGAGACATATAGGGTCAGGGGTTGCGAGCTGTTCTTACACCGGCTTCGTTGGGCCATTCATCGTACGCGCCTCTGGTCCGGTTGTCGCGGAACGCTTGGAGATCCGTTTCCTCGTCCTTGGCGGTGCGACGTGATGTTATCGCCGGCAGTCTGGTAAAGGTCGCGGCCATTTTGGGGTCGATTTTCTGAGACGGAGAGTCTTGTGGCTCAGAGAAAGTCGAGTCCTGGAAATTGTTTTGTGAGTGAGGTGTCGATGAGAGCAAATGGAGATGTTCACATGTCAAGATCGACTAGGGTTCTCTGGTTGGCAAGGAAATCGTCGCCTTACTCTAACAAGACTTGAGCGGGGTGAACGGATCCTCATTTGGACTGAGCTTGGGGTGATCTGCTAGGCTTAGGGTATTAATGTAAGCTGAGTGTGGTGGGATGTGAGGTGAGAAAAGGTTCTCCAGGTGAAGTTAATCGTCGAGTGAGATGATGTGAGTGAGATGTGGGGTGAGCGTGGTGAAGAGGTCACTGCGTGCAGCAAACGAAACACATGTAAAAGCAACCAGCATCAACGAAGGGGGTAAAAGAAACAAGCGGTAGATGATCGGAAACCACTAGCGACTTGGATCCCGAGACGTGAGAAGTGACGGTGTTGACGCAAATCCGGGAGCTTGGTCGAGGCTTGGAATGGAAGGGGAAGGGAAGGATGTGGAAGATGGGATCTTTAAGTACAAGCGCACAAAGGATTGTTGGACTTTTTGTTCTTGGTGACAACGGATGCGCTTACCAGAAAACGGTATTGCTAGACCTAAGCGAGTCGCAGCTGATGGGAGAGAGAGTGTGTGTGGTGTCTAGGAGAGCCATGCAACTAACACGCTAGCCGGGAGCGAGTGCGAGAAGCTATCGTCGCAGGAGACGAGAGCGCGCCGTGGCGCAATCGATATCTGTGGGGTGAAGGTGGATGGATATCCTACACCGTCGGAATACGGACGTAGCAGCAGGTTCGGCTCAGTCGCTTTGATCGATGTGACCGGGGATGTGGAGGGTGGGAGGCAGATGGATGGGCGGCTGGATTGGTGGTGGGCCGGGGGAAAACCGAGAAGCAGTTTGTCCCGAACTACCGGTCGGATGGGCGAGTAGGTGGTGGTGAGTGTGAGACGAGGAAACCAAGAATCTCAGATCCGATCAAACGAAACGACCGGGAAAAAGCAAGGTGGTGGTGGATGTGCGCCGTTTTTCGATGCGTCCGGGATGGTACGGCCGTAGCTACGGACGAGGAAGATGCCAAGTCCGTGTACCGCGGAGACGAGAAGCGTCTACCATGCGGGTCTATTGCCGAATCAGGACAGCTTCTGGACGAGGCCACGGTCGATGCTGCAAGCCATCAGAATGAGATGAGGCTCGACTGATTGGGCATGCGCGTGATTTTGCGGGTGGTGGGCGTACAACAGTGCGTGTGAGGATGTGTGTGATGGTGATACAAGCGGCGGGAGTGGTGATGGCGCTATTGCGGGTGCGATACGATAAATGTCTAATAAATGGACATTTATTCGGTTTGGTAAAGTAGAAGGAATGGCATGTGTCAGTTAGGATGGGGGCCAGTAATTATCGTTGGACGTCAAACCGTCATCATAAGAGCGGGCGGTTCAAACGGGATGCGGTGACGGTGACGGCGCCGAGGGTTCCGCCGCAAGCCATGGACTCGTCATCGACGTGCCCGTGAGAAACATGCGATGAACCATTGGGAGCAAGGTCACCCAACTGCCAAGGAACCAGACGAAAAATCATTTTTACAGGCAAGCCGTGTCAAATGAGGCATCCTTCAACTTCACATCACCGGGTACGATCGATGCAACGTTGGGCAGCTGCCGCACTCGCATCCGGAGCATGTCAGATGAGTTTGTTCCTTCCATTTTACCCAGTAAGTATCTATGAAGAAGGTGAATGAATGTCCGTTTGCTGCTGCTTCGTGGATGCAATGCAATGGAATCGTTCCATCCTTAAGCGAGCGAACGAATCCACTCAGTCGGGTCGAGCGTCTCCACTCCGAGCCCCGCAATTGCATCCCTGCGGGCACAAACGAACCAATAACGGACAGCTCCAACCACTCGGCCAATCCCAGGGCCCGGCAGCCGAAGCCAAGACACGCTTGGGGCAAGGGGGATCCACATGGGAGAAGCTCTGGCCACCGCCTCAGTTCAGCTCAGTAGCACAGTGGCTCATTGGGTGTTCACAGTGTTCTTTCTGACTTGAGGAAGGAGGCACTTTCTGCACCGGATGTTCTTCCTCTGGCTTGGTATTGAGCGCCACCACGCATCAACCCGGACGGCCATGACCGAATCACAACCTAATGCTTCCGCCATATCACCATGCTCACCATGCTTGTCGGTCCAGCGTCGCAGCCGGAGATCCAAGAGATGCATTATCGTCCAGGGGCTGAGACCATGCATATCCGACCTTTCGGCAACCTGCTTGGATTCCGCATCTTCACTTCAACCGCCCAAGCGAGGAGAGTCTTCTCGCCAATCTCTCGTCAAGGACAAACCACCAACATTATCGCCAACATCCTCACGGTCTCGCCGAGCTCAGTGGTCGCACAGGGAGGCATCAAACACAGTCATCAAAATTATGCTCGGATGACTTGTTAATTCCTTTCGTGGACTCCATACGGCCGACGAGCCTTTCCGAATCACCAGGCCCTTCGGCTTGCTGCAGACGCATATTCAAACGTCCGCTCTGGCGTCAATCACCCCCTGTCGATATGGCTTCCCCGACGCGGCTCGCTTCCGCACTGCGCCGCCTCACCAACCTTGTGGCCGTCAATGTCTCCGACCTTGTGCTCCCTATCCGAGTCGACACCTCCCGAGGCGCGACGTTGACCCCGTCGCCGACGCAAGGGGCTTACGAACACGCCCGACAGAAGCGACACACGTGCGCAGGACATGGCACTTCCAGAAAGATGATGTTTGGGAATATCTCAACTAACAGCCTGCAAACGCCAACCCAAACCAAGCCAAACACAGCAAACACTCATTGCCGGCGGACGAGCGACAATAGAGAGGTAGGCAGGCCCCATGCCGCCCCGCGCGTCATCAACGGTCCCAAAAACCCCTCCATCATCCGGATTACCCCGTCCGGAGGCTCTGCCCGGCACATCGGACACGCCGGTCTCAAGTCTGGATCATTCGCCTCCGTCACCCACGTCCGGAACAAGCAGCTCCTTCCAAAGATGTGCCCGCAATGTTTGATCCGGACAGGCTGCTCTCCGCGGTCCAACACGGTCCATCCCGCCGTGCTCGCACCAAAGATCCGTAGTTGCACGTTGGGGTCGTCGTCCCACCTGAGCCGCCGAATCTGGTTCGAGATGTTGGACAGGTTGGACAAGTTGCTCTCCTGGGCGCTGAGTCGCCGTCTCGGCCGGGGACGGGGTCGCTCAGCTGCCGTTGGGCTGGACACCGCCGGCGGGACTTCCTTCTCCGAGCGGCGCTCCCAGTAATCCGCATAGCAAATTACGCACTCCTCTTGGACGCCGTTGTTCTTCATGAGGGCCTGGAGCTCGGCATCCGTCACGTCCTCGACGGACTGCTGAAAAACGAGACGCTTCGCCATGTAGTTCCGTATCTCCCGTGCCCACACCTCGCGCTTCCCTGTGAAAAACGCCATCGCCTCCCAGATGAGCTCCTCAAACCCGGTGCCGGTTCCGTACCCGGCTACATTCGCGTCGCTAGGCGGAAACGACACTGCGTTGGCCAGCTTCTCGAGCGCAACGACATCCGACGACCGACGCCACTGCGGCGTCTGGATGATGCGCGCGAGCTTTTCCACGACAATACAAAACCGCGCCATGGAGAAGCCGTTGTCATATACCGCAATCTGGCACATGAATTGGACGAGACCTTTGCGCCGGTATGCCTTGGATTCCATCAGCGTGTGTGCGTCGGTCCACTTCGCCCCGTTCGCCGCCGCGCTCTCGAGTAGTTCGTCGTTGACGGTCTTGAACGCCTTGCCGACGATCTCGTCAATCGTCGCCTGTCTCCGCATAACAGCCTCCGTAGAGAAGAAGGGCTGTCGGGCGATGCCGTCAGTGAAGTAGACATTGCTGCCCGTACACTCCGCGGCGAGGTTCCGGTGAATCTCGGCAAAGATCTGCCGCGCGAACTCGCTCTGTACCTGCGCGTTCGCCTCGAAACGCGCGGCCGCCTGGTCGGTAAAGTGCCTCCGGGCGGCAGCGGCGGGGTTGTACAAGTACGCGAGCGGCCCGGCGGCCTCGCAGTGACACCGGGAGGGCCGATGGGCGTGTTCCTTGCAGCGGCGCTCGAGGAAGAAGGTTGGATAGAGCTCGGTAATGCGCTTGATGGAGGACATGTCGCTCTGGCTGAAGTGGCGGGCCCAGTCCCAGGCGAAGACGGCGTTGGCGAGGCCTTCGATGTAGTTGTTGGCCCAGACGTTGTCCATGGCCATGTCGCGATCCCAGGCGTCCCTCTGGGGCCTCTGGCTGGGGACCTCGGGAGGCTCGCCGGAGCAGCCGGGGCACATCTGGGTGTACTCGCTGGTGCGGCACTCCCAGTGGGCGTCGGGACAGGGGAAGTGGTTGGAGCAGAGGATGTTGCTCTTGATGGAGTGGCGCTTGGGGACGCCGTCCCTCGAGGGGCACTCGAAGAATTGGACGTGGCGGATACACATGGTCGAGACGGGTAGTTTACAGAGGTCTTTGGACGCGGAAACAATCGGGCAACAGTGCCATCGCGAGGAGTCTTATGTCTTAAACACGTAGGCTTCTTTGTTTTTGGGGCCAAGGAGAAGCAGGAAACCTGGATGGTTTCTATATTTGTGTGCACTTCAATGTTGGGCGGTCCGTCTCACTATTCTGGAAATGAGCATTCATTGCAGCTTTCAATGAAAGCTTTGTCTAGACGTCGAATTAAACAATAGGCCCATCATCCCTTGCCGCTGCTCGACCGGAGCCGGCGCAGACGCCAACCTGAGAACAAAGAAGCCGTTGCGGATGAGGCTTTTGCGCCACTCTTTCTTGACTTGGAGCAAGTGGGATGCTTCTCGCCCAGACATGTTTGTTCATCAGATCCTTCATCCCTAGCGGGCTGTCTGCATCTGGTCACTCAAGAAGATGTCTCGTTATCCTTCAGTTTGTCGACGGTATCCCACGACTCGACCGAGGCCCGGGGCCCTGAAGACCCCTGAGTGCTTGCACCGTGTTGGGCTGGCGAACTGCTCTTCATCTCTGTGTACGCCGTGGGCAGAGGGTACCGAGATGTCGTCAACGACATGGCGGGGTAGGATTCGGGCATGGTGAAGAAGGACTTGACGGCGCTCGAGACGGAAGTGGACGACGGCTTCTGGTCCTTGGGCGGGACGTGGTAGGTGTTGGGGATCGGGTGACGGGAGGCCATTGTGTCGCTGAGTGCGATGAATGAATGCAGTATAATATAGTCTGAACGGCCTGGGATGAGATCTTTTGGATTGATATGCCACTGCCCAAGGGTGGTTTGGCCGCCTTAAATAGATCTTTCAAACCCAGGTGATCGATTGTCGGATCTTGATACCACGACTCATCGGCGCGAGACCCCGAAAACTGACGCCTTTTGCGAAACATCTTCCGCATCTTGTGACACGAATCACCCAATCTTTTTCCACCGCCCACCGTTCAGCCAGAAGCCCCGTGGAGACACAGAGGTGCGCTGCGGCATGCACGATAAGGCCCGCCGGCTCGTCGCGTGGGTGCATAGCCGCTGGCAACTCCCGGCAAAAGCGCGGACGCATGTTCGAGTGTCATCCGGCGATAAGCCGATGTTTCGACGTCTTTGGAGGTGAGAGTGGGATGTGAGTTCGGCCGTGCTGACCGGGGTTCTGGAGGCGGGAGTCCCGAGTGGACGACGGAAGACGCAGCCGGTGTGGCAGAATTTCGCATCATTACCGGGCGGCGAATGGGAAGGGCCGGCCACCGCCGGGCCGGGAGACGCAACACGAGCTAGTAAACTTTGGGAAGCCCCTTCGGTCAGCGTGTTGCTTAGGAATGGCCGGCTTTATCGGACAAGGGCTAGAGTCTTTCGGACATTTGATACACCCAGGAAGATGAACCAACTGCACTCATCAAGTACATCAATGAGTCACATCTACTCATGTATTGATCTCAACAACATCGCCTCATCGTCGATCACAACAGCAGGACAGCACCGCAGGTCGATTGCGTAAATCTTGAATAATAATGGCAGAAAAATCTTTGGTATCTCGAAATGGTACATGCATTAACACATCTCTTCATATCCCCCCAGGGATCCAATTACAAACGCCCTTCATGCAGATGATTCGACGCCACATCTTAAGCGCCGACGGTCTTCTCGTGGTGAGTGATGTCACCATCGCTGTTGGGAACAGCCTTGTTGCCCTCAGCGCCACTGCGCTCGAGGAAGGTGGTGGACGGGCGCCAGCCAACAGACTTGCTGGCAACGCTGACCTCGTTGTAGAGCTCCTCGACCTCCTCGAGAGAGAGACCCTTGGTCTCGTAGATGAAGAAGTAGACGAAGGCGATGCAGATGAAGCAAGCGGCGAACCAGACGAAGAAGATCTTGGACTGGAGGTTGGCATAGCCGTCGCCGTAGTTGACAAGGTAGGGGGTGGAGTAGGCAATAGCCCAGTTGAGGAGCCAGTTGGTGGCAGTGGAGAGAGAGAGGGACTTGGCACGGGTCTTGAGGCCAAAGATCTCGCCGTTGACGACCCAGGCAAGGGGACCCCAGGTAGAGGCGAAGAAGAAGATGTAGATGCACACGAATGCAATGGCGGCCTTCTGGGCGGGGAGGTTGAGGACGATGATGTTGCCGGCGTCGTCCTGGCTCGTAGTCAAAGTTCCGAGCATGGCAACAAGGAACTGCGAGATACACATGCCAATGGCGCCCCACAGGAGAAGAGGACGGCGACCCCAGCGGTCAACAGCGTACATGCCAGGAATGGTGGAAACGACGTTGATGGAGGAGGTGATCATGCCGATGACGAAACCGTTGGAGAATCCAGAGTTCTGGAAGTACTGAGTGCCGTAGTAGAAGATGAAGTTGATACCCGTGAGCTGCTGGAGGGCCTGGAGGGCCATGCCGGTGAACTGACGCTTCAGGACAGGGGGCTTGAAGCAGTCAAGGTAGCTGGCAGAGCCGACGCTGCTCTCAAAGTCGTGGTTGGCCTTGATCTCGGCAAGCTCGTCGGCGATGGCCGGGTCGGTCTCAGGGAGGCGGCGGAGTCTGGACAGGGCGTTGGCGGCGCGCTCCATGCGGCCCTTTCTGATGAGGAAGCGGGGGGTCTCGGGAAGCACCAGCATGCCGGCGAAGAGGATGATGGACCACGCGAACTGAACAGCGATGGGGATGCGGTAAGAACCAGTGTCCTGGCGAAGGTGGGTGGCATTGTTCACGATGGCAGCCAACAGCAGACCGATTGTGATGGCCCACTGGTAAGCACCGACAATGGCACCACGAATCCACTTGGGGGCAGTCTCGGACTGGTAGAGAGGAACCAAAGCAGAGATCAGGCCGACACCGAAACCTGCGAAGAAACGACCGGCAAGGAAGACGGGGATGTCGACGGCAATGGTCTGGAGGACAACACCAAGGTTGAAAACCCAGGTGGAGGCAGCAAGACCCATGCGACGTCCAATGGTATCGGCGAGGAAGGGAGAAGCGAGGGCGCCAAAGAAGGTGCCGGCAGAGAGGATGGAGACGATGGCGGACTCTTGGTCGGGAGAAACATCGAGGTTGCCCTTGGTGTTCACGTAACCGGTGCTGAACAGACGTTGCCAGTAAGACTGAGGGAGCAGATGGTCAGTTTGAGCCGTTCGCATGTATCGGGGCCAGCAGAGGAACACACACCATCTCAAGAATGCCGTTGATAGTACCGGTGTCATATCCGAACAACAGACCACCGAAGGCGACGAAGAAGCCGATGAGAATGGCGGGCCAGGCCTTGCCCGGCTCGCCAGCTGGCTTGATACCCATGATGGGCTAGGTTGTTGATGAAGCTGGAGGTTTGAGGTCGGAGGAGGGAGAAGGAGTGTGAGACGTCTAGAAAGCGAGACTGGATCGAAGGGACGTTGGGCAGCTGGAGGCTTGAACACGAAGACGAGACAGAAAAGGAAGCGTCTGGGGAAGAGATGGGAGGAAACGTCGATATATAAAGTTCCCCAGAGTGTGTGGCACAACGCGGAGCTCCCACACTCTGGTTCCCCAACCTTGCGGTACGGATACCTTGCTGGCTCACCTAGACGGCGCAACGGTCGCAGGTGTCACGTAGCGTGCAGGGCCACCATGATGGCCGGCCGATGGGTAGGTAGGGACGCGGTGGTGGTTCATGGGCGTGTTCCATGGTTCATGGTTCATGGTTCATGGATGGCAGGACTGCGCGACGGTGCGTGGAGTTGAGGCAAATGATGTGGGGAGCCGATGGGAAAGACCATACGATGGGTAGGGCCGATGGACGATCACGAGGAGGAAGGAGACGCAGCGAGGTACTCACGAGAAGCAGGCGCGATACTTGGGGCGGCGCACAGAGGTTGCAGGCGCGGCAGGTACTGCGTCGAGGCCCTTCCAGACACGGCGGGTTGCCCGAGTCGTGGAACACTCCACGAGTGTCCCTCCTGCTGCGGGTTGGTTCCCATGGGTGCCCCTCCTCCCCCGACAAGAAACCCCATCCGGGGCAGGGACCAGGGGGTGACCGCTCCTAGCTCTATTCGTGGTCGTGCCTACCCAAGGAAAAAAAGAAAGAAAGAGGGTGTGCAGGATGAGGGGGAAGGAGAGTCTGGGGTAGGGTAGGTGCTCTGCCGTGTGTGTACTAGGTATGTACTTACCTACCTACCTTAGGTAGGGTAGGCAAGGTAGGTCGGGTACTTGTTGTCGCGCAAACGAGGTGTCACCTTCTCTACCTGAATAGCACAGCACTGAGAGGTATCTCTCCTTCTTCTTCTTCTTGAGGTGAAGTAAGAAGAGACGCGCGCCGGCGGCAGGTGGCGTCTAAGGCCGCGGAGAGTTGAGGTGAGCTGCAGACGATGCCAAGCCGCCATGGGCATGGCACATGAGCCAGATTGCCCAGCGTGGTGATCTCAACTTGGCACTGATCAGCACACAGGACCAAGACCATAGGCGATGCTTATTCTGTCATCTCGCCGGCATCCGTCTAAAAATTCTCATTCGTGATGACGATGCACAATTAACGGCCGGAATTGGATGGCCGGGATGCCTACGTGAAACTTCAGTTGGCAGTCAATACTGCCCAGCAGGTGATGCAAAACTTTTTTTTGGGGTCGTCTACCCCGAACCCCACGACTCAGTTTCCCAGCTCAATGGCAAGGTTTTCTGGAGAATGGGGGGAGAATATGGAGAAGACGTGGGAACTGGGGAATTTGAAGAATCGAAACTGCATGGGGAAAGCAAGGAACACAAGCAGGAAAAACAACAACGGTACACTACCTAACACTAGCAGTACAGAGGTAGGGACAGAGAGGCCGTCGCAAAGGTGGGGTCGGTCCACGCACGGCATGGCCGCCAACGCCAACCTTGAACTGAATGAATGATGGATGATCTGACTGACTGGATCCATTGCTGCCAGCTTCAGCAACAAGCAACGCTAAAACAATGCCATTCAGTGCCAGCACGCCGTTGGAACACCGCCATCTGACACCCCCAAACCCCGTCTCATCGACCAGTCAAAAGTAGACATGGTCGACTCTCGAGACGGGTGTCTTGGTAGGAAGGCACCTACCAACTGCCGGCTTAGGGCCGTCTCTTTCCTTCCACTTACAGCCAAGGCAAGAGGAGGTACCTTGCTTGGGCACGATGTCTCTTCCTTCCCAACTTTCGTCCACCTCTCGTGAGTCGTGGCACGCAAGGAAGCCGCTTCTTTCCTCGTCGCCTCCTCCCGAACCAGTCACTTCAAGACAAATGACCCCAAATAAAAAATAAAAAAAATATAAAAAAATAACAAGAGAAAAGTGCAATTCTCAAAGTCGACACCATCATGTTCCCGCTCCGCTGACATGGTCCTGGCAACCAACGCCTGGCCTCGGCTCTGCCCTCAGCCCAGGCATCCCCCCAGCTTGCAGCCGCCCAGTTGCTTGTCTCGAAAGATTTGAAGTGGACGCTGTTCGGCCCGTTTCCACGTCGCTGGCCCTCTTTCCCCATCACGTCGCCGCCTCTTATTCGCTCCTGCAGCCCAGCTCGCTTCCAACGCTAATTATTTCGCATCTATTTTTCTCTCCGCTGCTTCGATCAAGATTCTCCATCATCGTGAGCCTCAAACCAACCACTGACCAGTCTGCAACCAACCTACCCTCCGATTCCGCCCGGCCATGCTCTCGCTGAAATTCTCACAAGGCCGCCGCGCCCTACGAGCGCCATCACCACCAACACCACCAACACCAAACCTCGTCGAATGCACCCCATCAGCCAAACTCTAAAACGTCAGCGGCTTCGGTCAAAACGGCCTATCGACCTCTCTGGCTCGCGTCCCTCACACCACCATGGCCCCCGGGTTGCGCCCACCGGTGCCCGCCGCTACCACACCTCCGACCGGCCTTCTTGGTGTGCAGTAGCCGCCGTGCTTCGGACTCTCCAGGGCACTAGGCACTTCAGCAAACCGCATCACCTGCCTGCCCCCATTGCCCATCAACGGTGCCAACTACCGCCAACACTACTGCTGCAGTGCTGTTGATCTCCTATGGGAAAGATCTCACCCATGATCCTGCAACTTGAAAGACACGAAAAGAAGACAGCCGTCCGCACCCTGGACCCTGACTCTCATCCCAGTCTCCTGCGTCTCCATTTCCGGTCCGAATCTCTGCAGCAGCGCAGATCCGCCCCCTGCCCGACTGGATCCCTCGTCTTGTCTTTTCTGCTGCTCGCCCACACTCCCGCTCACTCTTTCGGTCTTTCCTCGATGCCTTTTCCCCAAGGAGCCCCATCTGCCACCCGCCCAGCTGCTGGCATCATCCCGCCGCTGCTCTGTTGAGCCGCACGCGGCTTTTTTACACAGACGCGCTTCCATGGTTTCCAGCATAAACGTAATGGATTTTGTTCTATTAGACAAGAAAATTTGTTTCTTCAAGCAGAAAGCTCAACCTCATCCCCAACAAACCCTCCTCCGATGACGGTACGATCATGTCCTGATGGCGTACCGAGGCCCTGCAATAACAACCCCTGAATGAAGCCATTCCAGAACTTTTTTCGTATGTATTGGACACATACAGATAATGCGCACTTATGGCTTCACCTTCATTGCGGGCGCGCTTGCTCGTTTCTCCCCGTCGGTGGTTCCACCATAGGGCCGATGTCTTCCCCATGGTCGCGACGTCGGGCGCGGCGCTTCCCCTGCCCGTAGGGTCGTCGATCCCATTCTAAGGCCAAAATGTCACATGTCCAGTATATCAGAAATCTGGCCCGGAGCCTGTGGCTCGGTGATCTGGGGTTCTACAGACTAGCGCAGCTGCTCAACATTCTGGGGAGACTGGAGGCTGGGGAAAAAGAAGAAACTCGTTACGACGCCTTCGTACCCCCGCACCCCGCGCCGAACCCGTGACGGCTGCGGCTGCCATGGATTCGTATGACTACGGCTATCCGATACATACCCATGCATCCCTTTTTTGGGGGCTGCGTCTACAATAGATTCAGCCTCCAAAAATACTCTCGCGCGCATCTACTAGACAGTTTGGTCTCTACTCAAGACAACAGGCCCAATTTTGATCAGCTTGCAGTCTAGGATTGCTTATCCAGGTAAGAGCGATATTATTATTTCCAGTAGGTAACGACGAGTGTAGATATGATGCCGCATTGCGTGAACAAACCGTCCATTTATTGTTCTTCGGCGACTAAACTATGCTTCCAGCGGTCCGATGGTGGTGATATCCAGGCCGTCGACAAGTTGCTTCTTGGACGGCATCTTACCCAAAGCCATCAACTCGGCCGACTGAACCATGGCGGGATCCTTGCCCATGGACGCCATCGCCACAACCGTCTCGCCCTTGGTGTAATAGGCGACGAAGCTTGACTCCTCGACGCTTCCCTGAATTACAACATCATCCCAACCGCCAATTGTGTTGCCGCAGTACCGCAGTTGGGAGCCCAAGGCCGACCAGAAAACGGGGATGAAGCGGGCAGGCTGCACCGCCGCGTTGATGATGTTGCTAGCCACGGTACGGCCGGCGTTCTGAGCGACGTTCCAGTGCTCGATGCGCGTGTATCGTCCATCGCCGCCAGGTCCGTGGTACGGGTATGTGGCAATGTCGCCAATGGCGTAGACATCCTTCAGCCCGACAATCAAGAAGTTCTCGTCCGTCTTGATGGAACCGTCCTGCTCCAGGCGGATGACCTTGTTCTCCTTGAGGAACTCAGTGGCGGGCGCAACACCAACTCCCAGGATGACCAGGTCAGCCTCCAGTTTGGTGCCGTCCTTGAGGTGAACCGCCCCGACATTGGACGGGTCAGAACCAGAGGGCTCAGCCTTCTCCACACCGGCGTTCATGTGGAACTTGACGCCGTTCTTCTCAAGGCTCTTCTGGATACCAGCGCCGACCTTCTCTCCGAGAACCCTCTCGAGGGGTACCTTCTCCATGCCAATGACGGTCACATCGTTGTCTTTGGCGGTGGCATTAGCGACCTCCATACCAATGAAGGAGGATCCAACAATGACAATCTTCTTGCCCTTCTCGCCGATGGCCTTGACAATCTTTTGTGTGTCGTGGGCCGTCCTAAGGGTGAATATGTTGCCGAGGACCTTGAAGCCCTGCAGGGGTAGGTTCCTTGGAGTTCCACCGGTTGCTAGGATAAGCTTGGTGTAGGGCAGCGTCTTGCCGCCGCTTGTGGATACCTTGCGATCGGAGAAGTCGACGTCGGTGACTTCGTCGTCGACCCAGTCAACAGAGCCGCTCTCGTACCAAGCCTTGTCTCTCCATTGCAGGGCGTTGACGTCTGTCAAAAGGGCCTTGGACAACTTGGTACGGTCGATGGGGAGGTATCCCTCGGAGGAGATGATTGTCAATGGACCTTGGTAACCGCCGTTGCGCAGGGCTTCGACAGCTCCCAGGGCGCCTGAGCCGCCACCAACAATGACGACCTTCTCCTCCTGAGTCCCGCTGACGACATTGCACTTGAAGTTGGGCTTCCGTCGGCCGCTCTTGATGGCGGATTCTTCGCCGGTAATGTAGACTGCGCCGTCGCGCTCGGTGACGTTGAAGACGGGAATGGAGTCGAGGGCGGGGGCATCCTCGACATCACCGGTTTTGGTGTTGAAGCAGGCTATGGAAAAGTCAGCGTGGGCATGGTCCGGGGACTGAGCAAAGGTGTCAACATACCTCCGTGCCACGGGCAAGTCAGTCGACCAGAAGTCGTCAAGACGCCCTTGACGAGAGGAGCACCGAAATGGGTACACTTGGGACCAACGGCCTGGATCTTGCCGCCGGCGTTGACGAGCAGAACCTTGGCTCCTTCAATGCCCTCAACTTCGACCTCTTGCTTGTCACCCGGTCGGAGTGATAGCGAGGAGACCGCCTTCAGCTTGTAGTCGGCCATGTCTTTGACACTTTGGGAGAATGATCTGGGTTGAATTGGCTTGCGGAGGAGGCTGGATATGGTTGATTGACGGTATAGAGGTCTCGGAATACGCATGAGCAGCGTAGGGAGTGAGATCTGGGAAGCGGACTGGGCGAGGGAGCGTGACGTGACGTGCTTGCGATCAGACGATGGTTTCGAGTTCTGGGGCGGTAATTGGGTGGACGAGGGCGAGGGGGGCAATCAGCGAGGTTGTCGACGTCGGATAAGGTAGTGAAAGCAGTTGGGGTCTTCGAGGGTCGGCGGCACTTGGAGGAGCAGCAGCGGCAGCAGCTCCCAGTGGCCGCAGATAAAGGAGGAGGAGCAGCCGCGCGGGAACCCCTCATTGCGTCCGGATTGAGCATTGTGGCTATGACGACATGACAATTGCATGGGGAAGTTGCGACACAACGACGTCGTCCAGTGCCTGTTGCTGGGTGCTGTGTGCCTGCCCGGTGCCTGCTGTCGAAGCTGTTAGTGGACGAGAGCTCCTTCCTCCCTACACCGCTTGGAAATTGCTGCATCGTCATTGGCCGCTGCTATCGAGCTCTGGCCCCATCCTCGAACTCTAAGCTCCCAAGAGCCCCACTCTCCGTCATCCGAGCCCCGGAATGCCTAAAGAGATGGGAGCACCTCACCCCGCAGCTGCCCTCCCGCCCCCTGGAAAGAAAGCTCCAGTGAGCTAGCGGGTAGATCTGGGCATCGACCCGGGCTCCGAATCCGAACCGGGGCCGGTCCGCTCGTGTTTATCGGCCAGATTGGTCGACCTCTTTCTTCACAGCGAAGCACCTGATGTATTCGATGTTCATTTGCGTCATGACGTGTATCATTAACTTCATTATCGATCTCTCGTCGCATCTACACCGACTAGAAAGGGCTGTACGTTGCCAGTGACGGCACCTGGCCTACCTCGCTCTGCAACGCTTCCAAACCCCACGATGTTGTCGCAAACGGTGATGCCGGCACAAACGTTCCAACGAAGGGCCCCTCCAAGGCTGCCGCCTCGGCATCTCGGAAGAATTCCACTTCGTCCTCGAGCTGAGCCCCAAACGGTAAGCCGGTATCCATCGCCGAAGCTGCTGCTGCTGCTGCTTCTGCCCGCTCCTTTTGTTTTCTCGTAACCTCCTCCACAGCCTTCAACGCACGCCGATGGAGCTCCTTGACGACTTCATGCAGTCTATGAAAGGACTCATAGTCTTCGTAACTCTTCATCGACAGCATCAGCTCGAAAAGCCGGAGTGCCTGGTTGGCTAGCTCGTTGTCTGTCATCAGGTGTGGGTGATCCGGGAACACAAACATGTTGGCCAGGAGAATGATCAGGCCGGAAAAGTGCGCGCACGAGTTGGACCAGATGCTGCAGTCCGTCTTGGGCGACTCCACGAACAGCTTCATGCAACTGCGGCTGAGCTCCGCGCACTTGGCCCACCCGAGCGGCAGAGGGGGGTTTTGATGTCTGCATGACGAGCTCGGAGACGAATCTAAATCCTTGATCGTCATCTGACTGTACGAGCTTATTCGTCGGACCCAGTCCGCGTCGTGCGAGTAGATCCCATGTGTCATCACCATCGCCGTGAAGTAGCTGTGGTAGAGGAGCGACATGTGGACTATCGGCAGGGAATCGAGACATTGGAGTGCCGAGTCTATCTGGAATTCAGGCGGTAGATTACGCCGCCAGTTCTCCAGCATCTCCTCGAGCCTTGTCACTCTTAGTTGTCGATCTTGCTGCGACACTTTCCGAGCGCGCGTGCTGTACAGCTGGTCATAGACCTTGCCGGCAATGTGACTCAACTCCACCCGAGCTCGAAAGTAGTTGAATTTGCTGCCGTTTCTCGCAAACACTATGCCTGCTCCGTCTTCCGGGTCTCTTTCTGGTAGTGGCAAGTCGATATCTACGTCAAGCTGAAATGACGGCGTCTTGGACTTTAAGCTGATTTCCTGAAAATGTTGTCAGGCACCTGCCAATCGTGAGACTTATTAAGCTGCGACTCACCTTGTCCATAATATAAGTGATCCAGAAGAGCCTTGCTCTTTGTCGGGCAACTTCCGGCGAGAAGTACTGAAGCGATTCCTTGTCGTGGAGGTGCATGCGGTGTGCCAGACGCACGGCAGTCCCGATCAGGACCGAAGCTGGCTTTGGGTCTTTCGTCCCCAAGAATAACACCACCATTCCCAACAAGACCTGAAGGCCAAGGAGATCTTCTTCCCGCGTGACCAGATCGGACACGACAGATTGTACGTTGCGCATGTGGTACATTACTTTTTGGTCGTCCACCAGAGCATCCAAATTACCTTGCTCTTTTAAAGTGCATCGATACCCTAGCGCCATTGCGATGTTGACTGCTGCCCATACTGCCGTGGACTGCCCAGAAGAGGGCACATACCAATTTGACAACATGCGCATGAACGTTGGCGGGTCAAACAGCGGCATGACGCAGTTGTAGCGGTTGAAGAACTCGTCGATGATGGGCATGATCTCCTCGAGCGGTGGTAATTTGGGCTTCTCGGGCTCCGTCACCCATTCACTTGGGCTCTCGCTGCTGGACACATGGTCCACGAACTCGATGCTCTCTGCCGATTGCCCACGTCCATTGATACTCTCGGTTGAGCTCGGTGCTGTTGAAGGCTGGGTTGAGGTATAATTGGAGTGTTGACGGTTGGCGTCGAGGGCTTGCTGCAATTGCTTCTCTATGCTCGCTAGACGGCTCTCTAACTCGGAGACTTTCGTTGGGCTGAGTACTTGGTTAGAAGACTGTTGAGAATACCAATGATAAGCTCGCCTCACTTTTCAGATTCGCTCTGTTTTGGAGGCTGTGGTCGTTCTTTTGGGTGAGGTGCTCTTCGCCTCACCGTTGTTGTCCGGCATTCTGACTTGTAAAGCAGGCAGTTCGAACATGCGGGCTTGAGCATGTCGCATTTGATCTTCTTGATAAAACAGAGATCGCAGGCTGTCGTATGTTAGAAAATGACCGAAAACTGATCTTTGGGGCCGGTTGAACGAGGTGAATGGATCTGACCTTTCCGCCGTTGAGAAGACGTTTCCATGATGATGCGGAATCTGGCACTTCTTGTCGGAACTCCTCAAAACAAAACAAGATCATCTAAATAATTGAGCCCCTTGGATGACTATTTGCAGAGGCGTATTTGCGATTTGACTGACCGCATGAGTTAAATGACATCTGAAGGAGCGAATCAGACGCGGGATGTGGGTGTAGGCAGAGGATTACAAATCCGACTTAGGATAGCCCCATTTGTCACCTTCCAAGCCACAGTCCAGCCCATCATGAATCCTTCCAGACAAGCAGGCTCGTATTCCGATTGGATGGTTCGCAGACTCTTTGACCGAAATCGTGTGACTATTTCTGCTAATTGAGACAGCTTAGCCACATTAACGCGGTGGTACATCTATGCTCACCGACTCACCGAGATACATGGCGTCTAATGCACGTAACTTCTATTGATGTAAAAACAGATCTTAATGGAATTCTAACTAAGTAGGCGATTCTAACTAAGAAAAAAAACCTAAATGCATTGAAAAGCAATCAACCCTGAGAATCACAAGACGCAACTTGCTCTTACGCCTGGGCTGCTGTAACGCCTCCATAAGGCACCGTCTTTCCAGAAAAGTCAACGCCACCATGATGTTCAAGCTTGTCCCCGTCAGCAATCATATCTTGGTACCAAGCTTGCATGTCCGATGCAAAGGTTCCAGTAGCCGCAAGATCGCTCGAGTCGAAGGGCTCCTGCCCCTTGCCGACCTGGCGGATATGCGCGCCCGCCGCCGTGAGTCCGAACCCGAAATCGTCCTCCATCATTTGAACTGGACGAATTGCCCCTGTGATACGACCCTCAAGAATGTCCGAAGCGATCCGGAACTCTTGGGCCCCAGGCCGACCCAAGGCAACGCCATCGACAATATCCAGGGCCTTCACCATGGCCCCCACGGTTCTCATACCGCCCACGATATACGCCTTGGTCTTGCGGGTGTCGCGGTCTCCTAGACCCGCGACGACCGTCTCGGCGAACTCCAGGAAGAACCCCTCCCGCTTGCGAGTAGACTCCTTTGTCCAGGACATGCCGAGCGCCTCGTACGTGCCCCCAGAAATCTCCAGGAAATCGAAACCGAGCTCTGATAGGAATGCACAAAGCTCCCGGGCCTCGTCAGGGGTGACACCGCCGTCTTGGAACTCGACGCTGTTGAGCTTTGCTGAGAGGATGAAATCAGGAGATGTCCGCGCGCGGATTGCTTTTCCGATGTCGGCAATAAGGCGGGTACGGTTCTCGAGCGTCTGGACGCCATACTCGTCGGTTCGGTGGTTCGTTGTACGGGATAGGAACTGAGCGATGAGATAGCCATGCGCTGCGTGCAACTGGATACCGTCGAAGCCTGCCTTGTCCAGGTACTCGGCGGCATGCGCAAAACCTTCAATGACGCGGTTGATGTCTTCCTTGGACGCTTCACGGGGCTTGCCGAATTCCATGCCCATCTTGGGTTCTGAAGTTTGTTAGTTTAGCCACGAGCTTTTGCGAGATGAAAAACCGCATACCGAGTACGACTGCCGACGCCGAAATCGGGTTGGGCTGGATCTTCTTCTGAACCTGTCTTCCAGCGTGGGTGACTTGGCCCAGCATGAGACTACCATCGGCCTTGCCAGCCGCAGCAACGGCTTTGAACCCCTCAAACCGTTCGCCCTCCGTCTTGCACTCGGGTGTGATGATCATGTCACCAATGCTGCTCATGTAGTCGAACTCGACGTCAATGTTGCCAGTGACGATGACACCAAAGTTGTTTGGGCCTTCACCCCAACTGCATTTCAACTTGTCAGTCTTGATGTAAAAAAAAAAATCAAAAAAAAAAATAAAAATCTCGAGAACAAATATGGGAGAGAGGCGAGGGTTGGGAAAATGCGACTTACCGGCGATAGACCTCAACAAGTTCTGGTGTGGGAACACCTCTCTTGGATGGCTCGCTTCCACTCCACGTCGCCAAGTTCTCAGCCATTGCACTCTTCAAGAAACGATTCTTGGCTGTTTTGGTGGAGAAGGGAAAAGACAAGGGCTGAGCCAACGGCTCCGGGCTGGTGGCTTCACTTGCGTAACGAGAAGACATTCTGACTTGTTGGTTGAGGTTTTAATGTCGGGTCAATTGTGTGAAACTGATTGAGATGCGAGCGGTAATGTGCGTTCGAAATTCAAAAGCATGCGAGAGAGTTCCTTTCTTATAGCTGAGTTTTCATTTGTAATGCTGAAATGTTGGCGGTGTTGTTGTTACTTTTGGACGCCGCGGATTGTAGGAAGACTTGGAGGAGACTCCGCCTCCGCGGAGCGCAGTGTCGGACTGCACGGCCGTTCGAGTCCGAGAAGGGGAATGTTAGCGCCGGGTGCCTCTCGGTGAGTGTCGGTGAAGCCCCACGAAGCAACACATATCGGACTTTGGCACCGCCACGGCGAGCTCCACGGCGTTCCACGGAGAAAACTGCAGGATTCCTACGATTACTAATGACGGATACCAACCACCTAGCCGCTCTCCTGATCCTCCCCGCCTGATCCTTCGTCAGATTCGGTCTAGTGCTTGCGTGCGCTGACTTAATAATCCATGCGACCATGTCAATGGGAATCTGGATGTGGCCTTGGATGACTTCCAGTCTCACATTCCCAGGATGCAACATCATTCGCTCATTCGGGCTGAAAGAATGTCTATTCCGAACGTACTGATCTATTTGCACGATTGTGCATCCTGCCTACTGATCCCGTCTACAGCTCATCCTTGACCGGCTGAGATGGCTCGGCTTCCTTCTCGTTGACAACCCTCGGCGACTCTTCCGCGGCCTCGCTCGCACCCTCCTTGAGCTTGAGGACTTGCGCCTTGACGGTGAACTCGATATCCCTCTTCTTCTGGGCGGTGTTGGGTCGGGTGTGGCTGATGGGCCATGACACGACAACAGCATCCTTCGGCGTAGCGCTGTATTTGCTCAAATCGGCGAGCGTTGCTGCGGACCAAGTCAGTTTCATATACGTCGAGATGATGAGAACGCAAAGGCTTGTGGACGGCCATCTTCTTTCGCTTACCTTGGCAATCGCTGCCGTCAGCGACGAAGAGGGGCAGAATGTGGTATAGTGCGCCCGGCGCGAAGATGGCGACGCGCTTCTGGTCGAGGTCACGGTCGACATCCGTGGGTGACTTGGAGACAGTGACGCGGTCTTTGATCTTCTCCTCTTCGGTGGTGGGCTTGTCGAAAACAGCAAACAGGCCCTTGCCATTGCTGTCCTCGGAGCGCTCTTGCTCCTCGATCCACTCGCGGACGCGAAGAGGGAGGTCGGAGTAGTCCATCATGAGCAGGTTGCGGTCGTACATGTGGCGATCGAGGCCCGCCCAGCCGCCGGGGTACTCGCGACCGGAGAAGAAGAGCTTCAGGCCATCTCCCCAAGGGAAAAGCCCGACGGGCGGCTTTTCAAAAAGGTCATGCAGAGTGTACTGTGTGGCGGCGAACGTGTTGGACGCCTCACATGTGTGGTCGTAGGAGTCTGTCGTCTTTGCCGTGAATGGGTCGCGCCAGGGGAAATTGTCAGCCATTGTCGTCTCAGGCTGCGGCATCTCCTTCCCGCCGAGCTGGAAGGCAGAAGCCGTGCCAGCCAAGAGGGTGGCCGCCAGGGGGAGAGCTTGGAACTTCATGATGACGGCTGGGGTCGCGAGATTGTATGAAGCAGCGGCAACAACAGAGGATGCCAGCAGAACACAAATGCTTCAGCTCAGTCGCATGGTGCTAGCAGTCGACGCGAAGACACGTCCTTCATATAGGGGTCGCTTCGAATACCATCAGCGCATTCTGGCAGCTCAAACGGCTTTGCTGTCCTTTGCGGACGCATCATGCTCCGGATTGCCATATTGAGTCGACCTTCTTGGGATACCGATGCCCAGAGTGGGATTGACTTCGGCCCAGAGGTTCAAATATTCCGTCTCTGACCCTCAGAACGACAGACACGACCCCAGACGACCCCACCTTCCCCTCACTCATCAGACGGCTCGACGGGACGGAACCAAGACTCCGCTGTCTTCTCCAAGACTTGAGGTCCAATTTCCCCTTACCCACACTGCCTTGTCAGCTGGCAGACAGATGTGGCCGGCCAGGCAATTGGGTGACGTTCTTCGGTTGAGATCCGACCCGGAGGCGGGTGAAAATCACCAGCTGGCTTTGAAGTAATAGTGAAGCCCCATTGAGGCTTAAGATGAATGCGACTTTGACTGTCACAATGAATGGATGTTGAGTGACCAGAACTCCCTGTCGTCTGATGCAAACCTCTTAACATGCGATGAACGCATGAGCCACTACCCACCCAATATGAATATGAGATGAAATCAAGCTTAGATTCACCCTCCTAACGACTTACTCATCTCTTACAGGTTTACCTTGATATGGCGCATCGTACATCAAAATGCAAGTGCCGACAGCTGCTTTTCATCACGTCCATCGCTTAAACAATGTTCTGGCATGTTTACTCAGCCTTATCCAGATCTAGATCACGGCTGCGAGCTCTTCGGCTGGGACCGGCTCATCTCATTGGCCCAGGATCAGAAGCTCCGCTCCAACGCGATCCCTTCTGGAATCCATGACGTCGCTTCTCCGTCGAAAATGACGCCGCCGCCCGTCATGGGCTTTTCAATTGCCCAAACAAGGTCGCATCGCCTTGTCGCAGTACCAGAATCTTTGCCCTGCTCCGTCACAACGGTCTGGTCAGGCCATTGACCGTGTCTTTACGTGATGCTTACAATGTCGCTGCCCGTCCGTGGTCGTGGAGATATAAGATGGCTTCCATGTTTGACCTCCGCGATAAGTTCCCCTGAAAATCAAACTCAATTCAATTGACCAATTCACATCAACATTGCAACATCTATACCACTGAAAACCTCCTGCGTCATTCTCTAGCTATGGCGTCACAAGCAGCATATGCGGCTGAACAGGCCATCGGCCATCAGGGCGACGCTGTCACGGCCCAGGATGTGACCAACTACCCAAAAGGGAGCGACAGCAACGACACAATGATGGCACTCGTATGGCAGGGCAAGAATAAGGTTGAAATAGGTCAGTGACCTCCATCTGATCTCACCAAAGGGTTATCAAAGCTCACAACTCTAGTCGACGTGCCCAAGCCCAAGATCATTGAGGAGACGGACGTCATTCTCAAAGTCACTGGCAGCACCGTCTGTGGCAGCGATCTTCATCTTCTTCATGGCTCCGTGGTGCAAATGAACAAAGGCGACATTCTCGGCCACGAATTCTGCGGTATCGTCGACCAAGTCGGATCGGCTGTGAAGAAGGCCAAGATTGGCCACCGTTATGTCGCGTCGTTCCAGATTGCATGCGGAAACGTGAGTCGAGAACCAATCATTTGGTGCAACGTAGTGTGTGAGCTGACCTGTCCAGTGTTTCTTTTGCAGCCAAAAGCTGTCGTCTCAATGCGAGAAAACGAACTCCAACACGATGGAGAAATCCATGTACGGCTCCCAGACGGCGGGCATGTTCGGCTACTCCCACTTTACGGGTGGCTTTGCGGGAGGTCAGGCCGAGTATGTGCGCGTTCCGATCGGAGATGTGAATCTCCTCGAGATCCCCGATAATGTGCCGGATGAGAAGGCCTTGTACTTGTCCGACGTGCTCGCCACCTCGTACAATGCTGTCAAAGACACCGCAGTCTACCCCAAGGACCAGGTTGCAATCTGGGGTGCAGGACCTATCGGCCAAATGGCTGGCGCATTCGCTCTTGGTGAGGGTGCATCCAAAGTCATCTTCATCGACACGGAACCGCGTCTCTCATACATCAAGTCCAAGTGGCCTTCGGCACATGCGGACAAGTTGGAGCTCGTTGACTTCAAGAAATTGTCGAGCGGCGTGACCAACAAGCAGACTGTTGTGTCAAAGCTAAAGGAGCTTTGCGGCGGAAGAGGCCCGGACGTTGCGCTTGAATGCGCAGCTGGAGAGTACCCCAAGGGCTGGCTCCACACCATCGAAATTGCCTTGGGCGCCGAGACCGATACGAGTGAGATTGTCAACGAGATGATTGAGGGTGTGCGCAACTTTGGTCGATGCGGTATCACAGGCGTCTACGTTGGGTACACCAACCATTTCAATATCGGTTCGCTCATGGAGCGTGGTGTCCGCTTGATTGGCAACGGACAGGCACCTGTTCATTTGTACTGGGAGGACTTGCTCAAGAAGATCCAGAGTGACGACATTGATGTTTATCAGATGTTGTCGCATCGCATTCGTCTCGACGACCTCGGCAAGGTTTACTACAAGTTTGAGAACAAGGAGGACAGCATGCAGAAGATTTTCGTTGAGACAAAGTTCTCGTCTCCGAGGGCGCAGGGTTCACCAGAGCTTACGACATATTGAGCGCCTGTAAATAGTCGATCACAATCAATAATAGAGACTTTGGCAATTGAAAGCCGGAAGCCTAAGTCGATGTGACGTCAGATTTTCTAAGCCTTCTTCTTACAAAGTGGCCCGTCAGGTAGTTCTACAAAGGCCTCTGAGCCAACGCAAGTGGGACAGTAGAAGACGTTGAACGAATCATACTTCTTCTTGGCTGCCAGATGTTGGTTGTAGTTGGCGCCGTAGAACGTTTCAATGTAATCCGGGTCATGCCGGTCGCCTTCGTTCATGTAACCTCCAGTAGTTGGCGCAAGCCTTTTCCCGGCCGCACCCTTGACGTATGTGATGTCGTCTTGCACAGCTTTGCGCTCAGAATTGCTGGCTGTTTTCGAGATGCCACGACCGGTGATGAGAGCGTAAGAAGAATTTCGCCATGCCGGGTGTAAGCCCGAGGTTGGATCTTTGGCATCCTCAAATACCTGTCCACCGGAGACCAGAAGTACGACATTGGACGCAAACTCCTCCGGCTTGCCGCTGAGAACCTCCACAGCCTCACGGACGTGGGTGTAATCTTCGACGGCCGACCGATCTATCATGCGGGATGTGAGAATGGAGGTGTCGCCGGTGGGAT